TCGTCCTTAACTTCACTTGGGCCCCAAAATCCAGCACTGAGCTTAAATATTGCCTAAATAGTCTGGGAAATCTAACCCTAAACCCTAACTGGGGTGTCAACTGAACATTTCTGCAATATATAGTAAATGCTCAGAGAAAAAAAAAATCAACAAATAGAACACTTTTCCATAAATAACTATGAAAATACAAATATGTTTATTGCCATTTAGCTGTATGTGAACATGAAGAAATACAAGAAAATGAAGAACAGAAGCCATGTCTCTCCTACAGCGCAGGAATCTGCACATGTTGAAAGTCGTCCTTACCATTGCTGCTGGGTGAATGTGTAGGTCTATTGCCGTCTGTAGTAAAATCTGGAAGCAGAAAAGAGAGTAGTTTTTAAGGGCTGTAAGACCTATTGCATATGCAATATTAGTAACATTGTACATTCAGAACTCTCATTGTTTCACATCATTGAAAAATGGCTTCAGCAATCTGATCCTAGATTAAAATTACCTGGACAATTTGCCAAATGGTGCATTCTTGCTGGGTGAGGTTTGTGCTCGACACAGAAGACGTGTTTCAGACAAAAACAGTTGTGGATATACAGAACTTATTTGATCTCTGCAACCCATTTCCTAAAATGCTGAATATGAAATCACGCAGCAGCAAATCCACATTTTGGGATTTTGGGTATATCGTATTTGGATACGATATACAGTATAATATTGACTACACATGAAGAGAAAATACTCATTTTAAAAGTTATAAAGACAGCAGTTTGAAGCACTTCACCTCTTGGCTTTCTTTGGTTTGAAATTTAAGGCATCGTGACCTTGTCCCCCTTCTTAAAATTCATTATTCTTTGCCACATTGAAAAAAATGTTAGCAACACGTTCTTCCTCATAAGAAAACATAATCCTACTGTAAACTGACAAATATGTCAGGGTCCTGCAGGGTGAGTGTTATTTTGTTGAGTTAACAGTTACTACTTGACCATCCTTTTGATAACAAGAACTACAGTATATTACAGCCAATTTTTGCAGTATTTTTGTCACAGTCCACACAGCCCCATACCGGTTCAGTACCAAATGCAGGAGAGGCACTTATCTAAACAATATCCCCAAAAGCCCGCAAGTGTCCGGGAGGCCGTAGGAGCTCAGTCAGCTGTCACAGTTGCTTAGTGACAGTTCGAACACTTTCATCGGTCTTTACCATCTGAGCAAAGCAGAGACCTAACCGCTAAAAGATTTTTTAAACGTTTTGTAGTGTTTCTTAGCTTCTAGATTTAAGCCTTTCTACTAAAAAAAAACAAACGCCAGGCATGATAGACATTTTATTAAAACGGCACCTTTCTGTTTGATTTAGCGATAAAATTGAAAAGGGAAACCGCATCTCCTGACTCCCCAATCCTATTGTCTGTCAATTTACTATGAAATGATTTTCAATGAAAATCATAAATAGCTTCCTTTGCATATTTAATATTAAATTCCCCTTTAAGAAGCAGGTCCCTATAAAATGTTACACTCCTAATCAGACTGTGTCCCTGGAGGCATTGTGGGAAGTAGCCATGAGTCACTGGGCTAAAATGGCTGCTACTTACAGAAGCCTCAAAGGGATCCATCAGGTGCATAGACCACTCAGGAACATAGACCCCCCCACACACACACACTGTTTCGAAATCTGTTGAAGGGACTGCTCTCTTAATAGGAAAAGATCAAGGATGCTACAGGCGCTTTAGAATTTCAAGTCCAGTCTTCATACACAGGCCTAAATACGTCAAAGGAATTCAAAGCATCTAAAAATAATAGTGCTAAAAACGAAGAACGGGCTGGGCAGAAAAGCCTGACTGAAGAGGCAGCTGAAGACTGAAGACTGAAGACTGAAGACGCAGCACACGAATGCTGCACTTTAACAGTGCGTCAGTCCAGCGACGGAGGGAAACTTCCTGATGACCTACTCTGGAGGCTGCGGCACACGAAGCCTCTCTCCTGCAGGCAGTTGTTGTCGTTCCATCTCCCGTCCTCTATGTTCATCTCCACGCACTGCTCCACGCCGCCTCCCCCAGGGTGGAACAGCTCGTTGGGTTCGCCGGGGGCCCAGTTAATAAAACCCAGAGGTGACATGTCTGTCCAGGCCCAGCCATCTGGCAGGGGGCAAGGAGAAAGGAAAAAGGTGAGGACTGGGATGCACAATTCTGAGGAGCTCGTCTTCAGCACCAGCTCTTTGATAACAAGTTGACATTACCCAGGATTCTTCTGGAATGTGTACTCCCATAAGCACAGCTATTCTGATGCACACTGCAGCTGGTTTCACACAGACTGTGGGGTGAGCGCCCCCTACTGGCCCCAATAACACCTCTTCCAGAAGCAACCTTAGTTTTTCCCTCTTTAATGGCTTCTCCCTGCCTTTCAGATGCTGCTGTTTTAAAGATCTAGAAAATCTGCAGACACATGGGTCATCCAGGACCAGGAATGGACAGCTCTGGCTTAGACTGCAGCTCCCTTCCAGGTCTATACTGGTGTGAGAAGCACAGACACTGGCAGCACACCACACTTCTGTTCAGCCAACAGCCTGGTGTACTGTTGCCGACAGTGCTGTGGTACAATGTGCCTTCTGGTATAGTTCCAATGGTCCTTACACCTGGTTGCTGGTCACGTCAACAACGCAGGAGCTTGCTTTAAGTCATAACCCAGGGTTTGATGTCTGGAGCTGACGCATTATTTAGGAGCACAAAGAAAAATCAATTCTAGTAAATAGAGTGAAAAAAGACACAGCTTTTCAACTGTGGAGCCCCCCTCAAGTTTGGAAAGCGAGGGAGCAAAGCACAAGCACCAGCCCACCTTGTGTGGGAGGTCTTTTCGGAGAAAAGGAGGTGGAACACATACATGAGCTGTCCTTGGTGAGTCCGATCCAGAGGTTGTGATACTTGGTGAAATTCAGCTTCATTAGGAACTCCACTTCTGCCCTGCTGTGGATAGAGGCCAGCTCTGCATGCATCTGTTGGCATACATGTCTGGCGTTTGGCCAGGATTGCCCTTTCTCTTGACTGTCGACCCAATAGCAGTAGCGCCCGTAACTGTGCCAGCCAAGGTGACATTTACCACCGCCAGGGGCGGGAGTTGGTGGAGGCTTCTCTGCAACATGAAAAGAAAAGTCGTTGCAGTTCCTATAGCACATTCTTCAAGCAGCCCTTCTCGGTTATTGATTTATATTCACTCTCATATTGTTTTTTTAACTCTTGCACTGACACAAAGACTGCCTGTGGTGTGCTGATCCATGCCTGCTTTACCAAGCGCCAGCTGGAAGACTGCTGTCTTGGCTGTGAAGCTCCAAGTAGAGCACATATTGGAGTTTGTGAACATGAACAGACGATAAATACAAACAAGGTAGCTACTTTGACTATGCCTTATTATTTCACTCCTTGATTCCATACCAATGCCTTAATTTCAGGAAGTAGATTAGAAGCCCTACATGGTTCCTGACTCTTTCACACAGACGTTACCTGAGGATATTTTGCAAATGTAAGGTTGCGCGATGTTGCAGTCGGTGTCATTCCACCTGCCGTGGAAGAAATAGGAGCCACTCATGGTGACACAGCCGTCTCCCTCGTGATTGGTGGGTTCCCCAGGGCCCCAGTGTGTGAAGAACACTGGCCACCCATCAGTCCAGGTGTATGTGCTGTTCCCCTGGGGACAAACAAGACCACCTTAGCTTTTAGGCCTATCTTGAGCTTTGCTCCTCATAACTGAGCTTTATGAAGAATAATCATTGAAGTCTTTTCCAACAACAGCTGGGCCACGTAGACTAGATCTTTCCACATTTCTACTGTCGATATGTGTTGTCAAAACACTCCTTCACACTCATACAGAGACTTTGAAAGGTATATTGATAACCTCAGCGCTTTAATCTTCATGCTTTTTACTGTATGCTTCTCTGGTACAAAAAACTCACAGTCTGACTGAGCAAGATATAGGCACAGACATACTGTAAGCAGGCTTAGAAACTGCTTAGAAAGAAAGAAATATGGGCATTCTCTGCATTCTCGCAACTCTATATCTTTACGAGCTTTTGGTTTCTAAGCATGGTGGCTGATGTAAATGCCCCACACGCTGACATCTCCCAGAGCCAGCGTCTGAGACCGGAGGTGTCACAGGTCAGAATGTGTGGTTACCTGGCGACTGAGTCCAATCCAGGCATCCCCTCGCCCTCTGAGCACAGCCCCAGCCACGAAGGCCTGGTCGTAGCTCTGGTCAATGCTGGCCAAGTTCCCCTGCTCCGCCTCACAGGCAGCCTGGGCCATGCCCCAGCTCTTCGGCTCCGCCACCAGCTTGTAGCAGTTGTTTCTCCACTTAGTGTACCCCGCGGGGCAAGGGTTCATGGGAGCTGGGGGTTCAGGTATGCTGCTTGCTGTGAAGCACAAAATAAGGCTCAATTTTCATTTGCGGCCCACGACGAGCCAAGCAGCTTTCAGACAATGGGAGGGTCGTTTTCAAAGTTCATTATACAAAAGCCTTCTTTGTGTAAGCTAGTTTTCATTTCAATTAGATCACTTTATTGGACATATACAATTTCTTGTATAAGGAATTTGTCTTTTCGCATACCCCAGCTTGCTCTCCATGAGACACACAGACAGGGAGAGAAGCTTGGGGTCAGAGCACTGGGTCGGCCATTTATATGGTGCCCCTGGAGAAGTTGGGGTTAAGGGCCTTGCTCAGGGGCCCAACAGAGTAGGATTTCTCTGCCGGCCGCGGGATACGAACCGGCAACCTTTCAACCAGAAGTGAAGATCCTTAACTACAGACCCTCCGCACTGTCCTGAGTTTGATCACACGTGAAAGCAAAAATGAAAATGTCCCAGCCTATTGGCTTATGGCCTCTGTGTTGTGCTCATTGTTTTTTTGGCCTTTATAATGACTGGGTGTTCATGCACAGTATTACACACCAATACGGCTGAATTTAAATTGTGCTTGTGTGTATTATGGTTGGGCTAAAAACACCAGCCATCCATCCATCTGTTTTCAATACCCTTTTAGTCTAACACAAGCATGCAGTGCACCAGAGCCTTGCCCAGCAGACAGTGGGTACAGGGCAGGAGCCTGCCTCGACAGGATGCCAGCGCATCAGAGGGCGCACACACACATGCACATGAAGGACAGTTTAGAGAAGACAATACACTTAGACATGTCTTGGGCCTGGCGATGAAAACTAGAGCACCCAGAGAAAATCCACAAAGGCATGAGGAGAACATGCAAACTCCACACAAAAGGTGCCCCAGGCTGGATGTCAAACCCAGAACCCAAGAGCAGTGAGGCAGCAGTGCTAAACCATGCCTTTGTGCCACACTGAAAACATAACAATTCTTAAAATGTAGATATGGCAAAAATACAGCCCACTTTCAAGGTTTTGATCTTGCCATAACCATAATGACGTAATGAGCCATAATAACTTAGTGAGGTCTAACAAGGAGCACATTATTTTTCTCTTCTGATGGTGCGCGTTTTTCACTTAAGCAGGTGTTTGAATCGAGCTCATCGATCAGTTTGATCACTTGATAAAAGCCAGCCAGGTTCTGGTCTTTTTGAGAAGCAGCATGGCTGATGTCCACCAGAGGCAGGCCTTACATTTCCGCATGTAACAGACGAATCCCCCGTGTAGATGGCATTCCGAATCTACCCAGTGGCCTGTCACCAGCGAGTTGTGGTTCATCATGGTACAGTGCTCCTGATGGAAAGGTGAGAGTCTCACTTAAGTGCATGTAACCAAACTCTAATTTAAACCTAAACAAAACTGGTAACCCCCACCACCACCACCACCACTTGACAGAGCCTACAACAAGTCATAACTCCTTCATAAATGCCATACAATAAAATATAACATCATGCATAATCCTTTACAACCGTTCATGTAAAATGACATGACAGGCACAAGAACTTGAGAGCTGACATGTCTTTCTGACCATGGCGCTCAGTAACCACTCCTGGCTGGTTTATGTTAAATTGTGTTTTTTATGCACTTAGTTATGTTTTTAGGTGCTGTGTTTTGCTACACTAGCTGCAAACAAGTGTGACAACTGTTTGCATTAAGCACCATTCAAGCAATTTATAAACTCTCATTTACCTAAATGAAGCTAAAATCAAATTTCTGGTGGACTTCACTGGCATATGGACACCCTCAGACAAGCTGGTGTCAACTACATATTTCTCAAAAAACAATGAAAACACTACAGCACATAATGTACAAGAGTCGTAGATTGTGGTTAGCTGTTATTGGTGTACATGTTAATTTCTTCCAGATGGACTCCTAGAGAGCTGTGCTACGTGTCTCACCCCTTTCTCGCCATTGTTATTGGGTTCGCCACCGGCCCAGTTAGTGTAGGTCACCTGACTGCCATCACACCAGGTGAACTTGCCCTCGTGATGAAGGTCGGAGAAGCCAATCCAAACTGACATCTCGATATCCAGGAGGTAACTGGCCACAAAGTCTGTAACAGAAAGGCCTATCATGTTAGGAACAGAGTTGGGTACAAAGACAATCAGTCAATGAAAAAAAGTGTTCTTTTGTAACTGAATCCTTTATTTAAGGAGATAAGTCAGTTGAGAGCAAGTTCGGTACCTGGAAAGTACACATATACTGTATAATATTTATAATAATAATTGCTTACACTTATATAGCGCTTTTCTGGACACTCCACTCAAAGCGCTTTACAGGTAATTGGGACTCCCCTCCACCACCTGTGTAGCCCCCACCTGGATGATGTGACGGCAGCCATAGTGCGCCACAGTGAGGAGGAGAACAGAGTAATGAAGCCAATTCATAGATGGGAATTATTAGGAGGCCATGACTGATAAGGGCCAATGGGAATTTGGCCAGGATGCCAGGGTTACACCCCTACTCTTTTCGAGAAACACCCTGGGATTTTAAATGACCACAGAGAGTCAGGACCTCAGTTTTACGTCTCATGCTGGGGGCGTACCAAGTCCCTTCCTTCTTACCAGCGACCAGCAGCACATGACAGATGGTGAGATGCCTACTGAAAGGTTTGCCCTTATAGTCCACTGGTGGTATACTCCGATTTGAACCAGCAGCCTTGAGCCGGAGGACTCCCTGACATTTATTTTTTCCACTAAGTTGCAACCCCAAAGTTGTTTTCTTCTAGAGAAGCTCCCGTCTTCCCCTCATTTCTAACCATTCCTATGATCTCATGTTCTTTAAAAACGCCAAACCAAATTCACACAACACTCAAGGATTTGCTTTAGGTGACTTCGTTTGGGATCTTACCGTTTTCATACTGGTCACTAATGACTGCCAAGTCTCCTTTCTGTGCTCTACACCAGTCGCGAGCAAAGGTCCAGTTGGCTTTCAGCGCATCCTCACCATGGAGCTTTCCTCTAAACAGGAAGCATTTGTTTCCGAAGAGCAGCCACCCTAGGAAATCCAAACACATACAGTACACTTAGTTCTGTTTAGCTAAATTGCATTATTTACTCTATTTAATGTAGAAAATACTCTCATTCCCTTAGATTTTGGCTGGACGTCATTTCGTCATCTGTAAACTACAGAATTTGACAAACGTGATGTGGTTCACATAATGTGCTCATCAGGAAAGGCACCGCAATGTAAATGGTCAATCTCTCGCCCACCCTTACATCTGAGTGTAGATCAGCGTAGGTACAGAATGGAGAAACAAAATTCTGCACTGCCCAACACTTAACATCGTTCATCATCCTGAATGTCATTGGTGACACATTACGGATGATGCTGTCATGCCCAGCAGATAATGTCTCACCAATGTTTGCTTGGGTGAAGAGCTGGCTAAACAGTGGGGCCCTGCAGGACACTAATGCCAGAAAATGCTTAAGATCAGGAGGCTGCTTCCACATCACGTCTGTCAAATTCTGCAGCAGAAAATCACCAGGGGTCCTTACTACTGTATGTGCCATTGGCATTAGTACAGAAGTACAGAAGTACCAGTGGGAGCAGTATGTTGTTTTTTTCACTGCTATCCTGTACTACACCATCCAAACAAGATATCCATGGGCTTGTCTGCAAATTTGATTCCCAGGTAGGTCTGACCTACTGACTCTGATCAGATGTGTGTCTGAAGTCCTTACCCTCCGGGCAGTGTCCTGGCCAGGCTGGGGTTGGAGGTGGTGGTGTGTGATGGCTTCCAACATATTTCTTACAGACATACCCACCAGCTGGCATGCCGCAGTTCATATCATTCCAGGTGCCTGTGCGAACCCAGACAACGTCATTAAGATCGCTTTTAAAAAAGAAAACTCCATGAACAAGAAAAACTCCGTGCTTGAGAAATAAAGTCAAGTTGGAATTAAGTATAAGTAAAAACAAAGCTAACACAGGTCATAACCTTTGAAACCTGCAGAAAAGGGAATACCAGTAGACGATAGAGGAATCTTCCCCAATATTTAAAGAGTTCAGTTCAGTTTATTGTCATATGCACAAGAGCAATGAAATGCTTATTTGCATGTATGCTCCAATACAAAAACATTAAAGGAATCACCAAAAACAAACAGAACAGCAGCAAAAACAAGTTAAATAACTTTGTTATTTTTTGTTGTTATTTTTACTTGTTTGTTGTAAACTTTCCCATAATGTTGTAGCTTACTGTATGTTTTCCCACTGTCCTTTACCTGGATGTCTTTTCATTTGGACACACTGTTCTTCTCCGTTAGCATTATTAGGTTCATCTTTGGCCCAGTTGACAAAAGTTACTGGTGAAAAGTCCACCCACCTGCATCAGAATACAACAGGGAAGTCATAATTAGACTGGTGTTTAATTGGAGGTGAAAAAGTTAGTTTTTTTCTGCCATCTTGCAGCATTATAAAACATAACCATCTGTCTATTTTCTAACTGCTTCATCTAATACAGGGTCCTGGGGGAGCCAGAGCCTATCCCAGCAAGCAACAGGTGCAAGGCTGGCTATACCCTGGACAGGACACCAGTCTGTCACAGGGCACACACAGACACAAACACACACAGTCACAGCAGAGCCAGTTTTCCAAGAAGTCAATGAACCTACCAGTGTATCTGTGGGCAGTGGGAGGAAACCAGAGCACCCAGAGGAATCCCCTCACAAACACAGGCAGAACATACAAACTCCACACAGACGTCACCCCTGGTCCGTGATTAAACACAGGGCCCCAGCTTGGTAAGGCAGCACTGCTAACCATTGTGCCACTGAGAAAGCCCTATAAAACATAAGCCCTATCATATTCAGTTACACTAGATAGATAGATAAGACTTTATTGATCCCAAAGGGAAACGGAGGCGTTACAGCAGCCCACCCCAAGACAAGCAAAACAGACATCACAACGGACTAAAATTAAAATAAGTACAGCGATATAAAATAAAATAGAGTTAGGTGTGTGCAAAATATGCTAATAGTCACTGTAAAACAATAAAATATGTGCAAAATGCACATAAGTATATCCAGATTGAAAGTACCACAGTATAAACAGTATATTAATGCAGTGTCCAAAAAGTGCAATAGTGCAACATGCTGTCTATAGAGGAGCAGATGAAGGGCTAACAGTCCTAGCCTAGGGCAGCGTTATACACCCTCACAGCCGCCGAGAGGAAAGACCTGCGGAAACGTTCCCTTGAACACCGTAGCTGGAGCAGTCTGTTGCTAAAAGTGCATAATAACATTTGAGATTGTGTGCACATGTATGAGAAAGCAATGAGCTATACTCAAGAAGGAATTGTTGAAGCTGTTTTGCTATTGGAATTTATCAAATGTAACTGAAGTGAAAGGTAAAACAATCATGGTGAAATATTGTCAAGCGTGTAATTCTCAGACTGCTATAAGATGAATCAATTATCATAAGATATATTATACTGTAAATATATTATATTAAAAGCTGTACACATAGGCAATAACAGTCTGATTCTCAGCTCGGTTGGTCAAACAGCTGCCCACTTACCGAGGGAATAAATGATGAATGTGACAAAAAGATTCATTCTTAAAATAACAAATGAGGCAAAAGCAGAAAGGTTAGTTCACCATAATTCAACACAAATATTACTGCAATAACACAGATCACACAGTAACATTTATTAGACAGAAGAATTTGCACTCTGGCATGCTGCGTGAAGTTTCCTTTAATCCCTATCATTTCCATTTGTGCCAATGCATATATAAATATCAGACCACTTCAGTAATGTAGATAAGTGATTCAAATTCACTGATTATACTGTACATGAAAAAAAAGAAGACAAAAGAGACTCAAAGACCCATTCAAACAACTTACATGTATTCTTCCCCAGCAATACCAAGTACTTTCAGTCCAATCCAGGCACTGTCAGCTTTCCCTGTTCCCACCTATAAATCACAGGCAGAGTGCACTTAGACCTCCTTGCTGGCCCAAACCACTAGAGTTACTCATCTGTTTGTCCCCAGAGAACCTAAAAAATACTTTGCACAATCTCAGTTCAGCAACATATGATACTGCTGCCATTAACAAACCCTTTCACAGAATTATACCTCTGCATTCAGAATACCCCTCTTCCAAGTTCTCTGTTTTGTATTGGGATTAAACTCCAACAAATCCGCAGGCTTGTGCTTCAAAGCCCACCTTTGTTCTCGAAACTCCCTCTTGCTCTAAAGGTTATGACATTTTCTGCAGATGTGCAACCACAATTTATGACTGCATACATGGATTGGCAGAAGAGCAGAGGGAAACACCTAGTGTATTTGCCACACAAAGGTTATACTATTTCCAAGGACTAGTAAGCCTTAGGAATGGATGCAGTATTCTGGGCTAATTTACACAGTAATCGTGTAACACATTGTAAACAAATATAGCTATTTCATATGCAGTATATGTTGCATGCAATGAGTGTGCAAGTTTCTTTTGAAATGTTCTCCCAAAAATATTGAACAAATATAAATGATTTGGTGTAGGAGAATCCATTTGTTTCAGAATTCATCCATCCATTTTCTAACCTCTCATCCCATTCTGGGTTACAGGGGAACCAGGGCCTACCAATGGGAACCTGGCAGGATACACAGGGGCACAGACAGACACAAACACACACACATTCGCTCCAGGGCCGATTTTCCCCCAGACACCTTTAAACCTACCAGTATGCCTCTGGACTGTGGGAGGAAACTGGAGCAACATGCGAACTCCACACAGACAGAATTGACCGCAGGGCCCCAGCCCTGTGAGGCAGCAACGCTAACCACGGAGCCACCATGCCGTCCTGCTCTTTTTTTAAAAAAATGCTTAAAGTGAAAGCATTACCAGAGAGGTCCTCTACAGACACTCGCTCACCAGGAACCCGCATGGACCCCCGGGACACGTTTCACCCAGGAGACACAGGAGCACGTGTTCTGGAGCTGCCCCTTCGCCAAAGCGGGGTGGGGCAGAACAGACAACACCGTGCAACTCCCAGGAGCAGGAGGGGTGCTCAGTTACCCATGCCTCCTGCTGGGGCCGGCACCGGCCGGACCTGGACAAGGGGACACAGCGCTTGCTTCGGCTACTGGCGTCCCTGCTAAAACAAGGACTGTGGAGCGCGAGGAACACTCTCATCCAGCACAGCACAGAGAGGGGAGCTGGGGGGAGCTGGAGGAGAGGATCGTGGCGGACCTCAGAGGGAGGATGAAGTCGCCAGATGAGGCTTCTCCACGGCGAGGGAGAGTTTGGGGGGGACTTTGGGCCCCGTGCAGGAACTAAAGCGGAAAATCCCTGTCCCCCGAGCTCCTGCTCCACAGTTTCAGAGCCGGGACAGATAAATGGCATGGGACAAAAGCAACTGGCAGGCCTTGGAGGGACTCTATCATTGCGCAAATCCGGCCCCATCATCCACTTGCACTGATTTGATAATGGGCAATCACCTCTTTCAGGACGTTTTTTATATGATAGTTTCGTAATTTGTTAGAATGTGTACCCATTGTGAAATGTGTTTTTTGTAAAATGAGGTTTATTTTGATAAAAAAGGAAAACATTACATACCACACTAGTTAGATAGCTCTGTTCTTCTTTGTCCGCAATCGATACCAGCAGCGCCCCCTGTTCGTAGCAGTCCACTAACGCAGTGTAGAAGTCAGTGTGGTGGGTGTCATTGTACAAGTAGCAGATATCAGTATTTGGCCTCCTTATCCAATTGGGATTAGGGCCACACTCAGGGGCTGTAAAATAAAAGGCAACACTTGTCACAAGGACAGTCTTGAACCCGTTCATGAGATCACATGATTAGCTTCCGATGGGCGGTAAAGTATGAGCATTTTGTGTTTCTGTCCCTTTAGCTAATGGCTGGCTAGATCTTTTTATTCCCGAAATACATATTTCAACTGGAAAAGGGGATAAAAAGAGCACAAAGGAAAGGCAGGGGACATGGTGGCTAAGAAATGAATCTCACAAGGCAGGGCAGCCCCACTACAAGCCTGAAGGATCACCATGACAGCAGCTTTTCATTCCAGCTCCGCTACTAATAATCCAACTGAACTAAATCAGTTTCTTATCTTCTGCAGTGCTGTTGGTTTAGAAACCCTTAAGACCTGCTGTACTACTGCCCTCCAGGACTGGAGTTGGACACTTGTGCCCCAAGGGGTTATGGTAGGCGGCTGTGTTTGCTTTCAGACGACCAGACCTCAGGGAAAAGGTTCACCCCTGACTTACCCCACCTGAGCTCACTGCACTGTCTGCCACAGGGGAGTCCAGTCCTGGTCCCGCTGGGCCAGTGTCTCTACAGGCTTCCGGTACTAGCCGGCTCTTAACAAGCCAGACCAGCTGGTCATGGGCTTAAATGAGCCAGTTTCCCAGCTCCTCCCGGGCCAGCTCTTCGCGTGCTGCAGCTTTAGAGACACCCAGAAACCCCGCAGACCCTCCAGGACCAGGACTGCACATCCCCCGTCCTCCCGGGTTTGTGGGCATTTGCCGGGAACTGGAAAACTACCAAAACGGCCAAAGTCCCCATTTAAATCCGAGTTATTGGCCACCGTACAATCCCAGGAGGCGCACTGCAAGCTGAAACAATCCCACAGCCGGAGCTGAACGGACACTGCGGTTGTACTGTACCTGGCTGGTGAGGTGGCGGCGTGGGGGGGCTTTCGGGCTTCCGGCCTTTGGGGATGACGCAGATCCAGTTGTGGACAGCGTCGCAGTTCAGGTCGTTCCACCAGGAGGTGGCGTTGGAGGAGCTGACCATCTCCACGCAGTCCTCCCGGCCCTGGTGGTCGTTGGGCTCTCCAGGGCCCCAGTTAGTGTAGCCCAGGGGAGAGCCATCACTCCACTGATAGCCTGCGCATGTCAGAGACAGGGAGAGAGGGACATCGCACTGGAACTGGGCATGACGAGCACTCCCTGAGCTGTCAAGTGTACTATACTATAACAATAACAATGTGTACACACAAAGAATTTCAGGAACAAAAATGAATAGTATACCAGTATACTGAAGAATGTTG